TAAATTGAATTTTACATCTGTGTTATTACTTAAGAGAAATTTATTTCTTAGCTTATTCCTTTTAATGCGTTAAAATATATTTATTTGTAAATGATATAATATTAATATATTTAAACTGGTGTTTTATAAAAAATTGGATATTCGAAAAAATTTCTCATGTGTATCATTTTTTTTTATTACCTTCTTGTTGTATGCAAAACGGATATATACCCGACAGATGTTTTTACTAACTAAAAAACAAATTTTTAGTGGCAATATGTTTAATAATATCAATGTAAGTACGTGAGTAAATAAGTAAGTAATTAAAATAATACATTAAATGTAAAATTTAATTCTTTAAAAAATTTTTATGAATGTTTAGTAATACCAAACAATATTTTAGTATAATATTTTTAATTAAACATTAAAGTATCTTACACTGCAAAATGTGGTCATCGTAACAGGAAATATTTTTCCAACAGTGAGATAGATTGGTTTCGAGCCTCTTGTCATTAAGATTAACAAATTGTTTGTGGTTTTTAGATCCATAGTATACCATTTATTATTATATGTCGCGTAATATATATTATTGCACTTAAAAATATCAAAAATATTTTAAATAAGCTACTGTTTAAATAGTTTCACAACTAAATAAAGAAAGTATATTGCAAACATTATATTTTGTATAATAGTTTGCAAATTTAATTACGCAATATTCAATTTATATGATTTCTATAATGAAAATATATATGTAACTAACCTGAGCCATTAGAATCTCTCCGAGAATGCAATATAGACACATATGTCCAAATAAATTAAAAATGGTTAATGTAAAAAATATGAAACGAATAATTGGTAAATGATTTCCTTCGTTGAATACCTTCATTTATTTAATTTATAAGTTTTATACATATGCACACACACACACACACACACACACACACACACACACACACACACACACACACACACACACACATACGCGCGCACATAAAAATGTAGTATCTCATAATTAAAATTATTTCAGATATCCATAATAAATATGTTATAAGTAAAAATTTTGATATTATACACATTAGTAATTTTGTAATGTTAGGAATTAATTTATATGAATTCTAATTTTTAAACATTTTAATACTTACGCTAATTACTCGAAATGCGTAGAAAGCGAATAGTATCGCAAAATATATAAACAAGGAGAGGAGTATATTATTATATACATCTTCAATAACATCAATAGCTCTGTAAAACGTATGAATATATTCGATTATACAGAGTGATTCATAACAATTGTTTGATTTTGAAATACCTATTTCTTATTTAATTCTAAAACAATTTTTCTTTTACTAAAGTTTTTATCTATATTAAAGTTTAATTTTTAAATTATAAGAAAAAATAATAAATTACGTGAATTATAATTTAAAAACTAAGTTAGATAAAATATTAGTAAAGGAAAAATCATTTTAAAAGTACGTCAAAGAATACGGCATTTTAAGGATAAATGATTATTCTAAATCACTTTATATTTCGAACAGATTATATATATTATATGTGCGTTATTTTCTTAATAAATCTAATAACAAACCTAAGTAAACGAAGATGTTTATTTATACAGCACTTTAGCACTTTTCGATAATTTGTGTATTTATCCAAACATGTCAAACGACTCTTGATAATGTCTAACTGACCAGATATATGAAAAATTAGAAGACTTAGAAAATTGTCAATTCCAGTATAGATCATCAAGGCAATAACTATGTAGATAACTTGACTAAGAAATGTCAGTTCATATTGCGGTCGTTTTGTTATATCGTAAACATAGTAGCTTTGCACAAGCATTGGTTTTCCTGGATCAGTAATGTTGGGAGTCAATCTCATTGACATTCCGAAAATAGGTGGTATAACGAGAAAGAAGCACTGTATTCCCATTAGACAATAGGCACAAATAATAATTATGCGTGCACTTTGCGCTCTTTGGATCATGAAACATTTTTCTTGATCATTTTTTGATTTTATCCAATCTTTTGTGATCATATTTATAATGGGTACAATAGCTTAAAATGGTTTAAAAAAAGATGGTTTTATTTTAGCATTGTTAAGTTATATTTTTTAGCATTGTTAAGTTAAAATATATTAATTTTAATTCTGAACAGTAATTCTAAGCAAAACATACAAAACAAAAATTTATATAATGTTAATATTTTTTTGTAAAAAACCGATGTTATATTTTAATGTCATAAATAAAACGTGTTTCTAATGTGAACCATTAGAAAGATTCCTTGAGGAGATTGAGAGTCACATTATTAAAATTCTTGACAATTTTTTATAATAAATTCATTAAATGTATGAACGTGAATTTCGAATGATATTTATATGGCATATAAAAGATTAACAAAAAAAATATTTTTTATTAGCAAATACTTTATATATAAGTATATAATAAGCATATATGTTCCATTTTTTATAGTTATTTTGTAGTGATATCTTGGCTCTTGGTGATCCGAGTAGCGAATTTTAGTTATATAAATTTTCAGGAGGCCTGCCAATACAGAGTGAACCACACATAACTCACTTAAAACATTTTATCGAGATATTCATTTCTTAGTACAAAAAAACTTAAAAATATTGAGTTATATTTATATAATTGCATATTTATATAAGTATTTGTCAATAAAGAATGTATTTTTTTACTTTTTATATGTTGTATAAATGTCGCTTAAATTGTATATATGTAGTAAAACGATTAAAATTCTTACTTTCTTTTTTCCACCAAAAAATCATGATTCTAATTACGCAGCTTATAACTGGTAAAGTAAATTGTAAATTGTCTAACATTAACAAAACGTCACCAAAAATTCTTATCAGGGAATGTATAGAAGGAATAACAAGGCAAACTGTTAATCCTAGAAAAATCACCAGCACTCGAAAATTGCACATTAATTTTTGCCAAGAATTTTGTACGTTTTTGGGCCAAAGTCCAAGCAAATCTAAAGTGAAACGGTTTAGTTTCACCGCCCATTCGAAATCTGCAGAAAATTTGATAAGTTTGAAGTTTTTTTTTAAAAAGTTTAGAATATATATACAAATACATAAAATCAAATATATAATAAATTATTTAACGGAGTATGTGAAGCAGTTATAAATATTTTTTAATATTTTACTTTTGATTACATATATATAAATTTAAAAATTGTTCAAGAAATAATTTATGATAAAAATCAAATTGTTGTAGGTACAGCTAACATTATCAATAGTTTAATATATGAATACAAAAACTGTAAAATTGATAATCCAGAATTTTTATTCATGATAAGAGAATAAGATATGGATTATTATTATTATGAATATCACTGTTTGCACACATTGCTATTAGAATACTTCTTTAAAGGTCTTTTTACATACAATTACAATAATCGAAACTATAAGCACCTTGATATTCATCATATTTGAAACTTTCCATATTGAATGTTATCTGATGACTGACGTCTATTCCTTTTTTGTGAATCGACGTTACCTCTTGTAGAGCAAGAAACATTTTTTGCACATGCTTACAATACTTCTTGAAAGTATCGAACGATCAACTTGCAAGGTATTTTAAATATTCTCCTTTGTTTCCAACTTTTATTTAATTTCCTACACCGACTATCGCGCAAAATATGTGCGAATAAAAAATTGGATAATATATACTTTTGACAAAAAAAAACATGCATACATACACCAGTTATATTCCCATGATTCTATAGTTCTCTGTTGCTTATAACTGCAGTTAGTAATAAATTGCACAGAACTTGTATTATGTATTACTCTTATGTCTTTAATTTTTTAAATATAAATTTTTAAAAATTTATATCATTCTTTCTTATATTCAAATTTTTAAAATAAATGCAAAACGTAAAGTTTAATAAATTAAGTTATTAAAATAACTGCAATTAATAAAAATAAATAAATTATTTTTATAGAAATTTTATTGGACATTTTTTATAGCAATATGATAAAATTAAAAGAAATTTTTCGAAAATATCCGTGTTCCTGAGTGCGAAAGAAATTTCAACATGGAGCCAATAATGATTACACGGACTTTACAATTCTATTTTGATCGTTAAAATAAATGATTGAAAATTCAAGAAAAGTTTCTACAAAATGTAAAATAAAGCAATAAAAAAAATGATAGTGACTTACTAGAAAGTGCATCCATGTCGACAACAAATCTGCAAAATCTGATTTGAAAATTATCATTATCTTAACGGTATATAAAAAATGTTCCAACAATGTGACGACTATTATGACAACCAATTTTTTTTGTTTTTATTATTATATTTGTTATTTTTAATTTTACGTAATTTTATATAATTATTATCATTATGAATAAAAGTTTTATATAATATTCATGAATAAAAATTTATATAATTATTATTTATATAATTATTA